AAGAAAAAGAAAAAGCAAAGTAAAGGGGAGAGAGAGAGAGAATCAGCGGGAGAGGGAAAGAGAGGTGAGAAATGAGGCTAGAAATGCCTCCTTGTCCAATTTGATAAGGGTGTAGGTCCTACCAACCAAATTTTATTTTATTTTCCTTTTTTTTTTCTTTTTAATTCTCACCACATAAAACAAATATACACACATACGCACATTTTAATTTGCAATCACATAAAGTGCATTCAATAAAATGTATGAAATGATAATGGACCCAACTAAAATCCCTGGGCACAACAATTCTGGTAGCAGATCCCACACTGTACCGTTTGGCCCGAAAAACTAAAAAATGTCAAAATGGTCACCCTTGCATTTCAAAGAGTCTTGGACTCAGTGAAACGCCCCAAATAATTCTAGAACACAACCAGCACACTCCGTAGTGTCCGGTACGAAAAACGGTAAGAGACAAAAATGCCCTTGCAACGGCAAAATTTTCCAAAAAAAATGAAAAATGCCGAAAATTGGAAACATCACATTTTCAAGAGTATTTTTGTCGTTTCTCGTTTTGCATGCCGGACACCGTGGGGTGTGCCGGGTGTGTCCGAGAGTTGGTTGGGGCATTTCATTAAGTTCAAGACTTTTTGAAATGCAAGGGTTGTTATTTCAGCATGTTTTCGTTTTTCGGACCGAAAAGTCCCTGGTAGGACCCGTTACCAGAATTGTTGTGTACGAAAATTTTATTTTGGGTCCATAACATTTCATACATAATTATTTTATGCATAATATTATGGTAGTGTGTTAAATTGTGTGGTTGTAAATTGAATGGAATACATATATGTATATTAATGTAAAAAGGTAGGATTTTAATTTTAGTGGTGGGACCCACCACCACTTATGCTTGATTTTGTTGCTAAGAGGCCATGTCAAGGCCTCACATTCTCTCTTTATCTCCCGGCTCTCTCTTTTTTCTCTCTTCTTTTTCTTTTTTCTTTCACTATCTTCAATCTTTGATTATTCTCTCATTTTTTAGAATTTGTGGGTGTCGTTTGCGCCAAATCGGAGAGCTCGTAGAGATCTACATTTTGATAGGAGCAAATCACACTTCTGGCCAACCTTGAATTTTCGAAAATCTAGGGATTTTTGGGGTTTTTTTACAAATTTGAGGTAAGGGTTCTTAATCTACAACTTGTTGGATCTTTGTGAGTTATTCTTCATGATTTGTCACCTAGCATGTTAAATTTGTGTTGAACTCTCTTATAATGACCTAATTGTTGTAAATGAAGTATGCGATTATGTGTGTTAGTTGATATTATGTAAATTAGCATGCTTAAGTAATAGTATTACATGCTTATGGTATTTAAATCACTATATGTTAATTGAAGTTGTATGAAAAAACATGCTTAAATGATCGTATTTCATGCCTATTGTGTTTTAAATTGTTAGACTTTGCAATACGGAAGCATGTCAATTATTTATAGTAATTTTCCTACAATGAATATTGTGTTGTTAATGTTATACTTGTTGGATATGAAATTGTTAATTGACATGGCATAAAATGCATGGTATATTCATGCATGACATTGGGCATGAAAAAGGGAAATTAATTTGAAATGAAAGTAAAAGGGACTTTAGGAGAAGTTTTGATAAAGGGTTTTGTGAAAACCCGGACGCCAAAGGGTTACCTAAGGTCCGTGGTGTTGGTATGACCAAGAGGGAACTGGGGAGGCTTCCCTAAAGTGGTTGAGTTACCTAAGCCCCAAATAACGCCGCGGGGTTACCATCGGTCAGGAACAGTTAGCCAATCCTTCTTTCGTGCCGCCATGGAGTTGCCATGGGACGGGTTGCATTAACAGTTTGGAAATGATGACAGGAAAGGTTTTGGAAATGGGAAGCGACATTGCATGATATTGCATCCCATTGCACGGCATAGTTCATTCATGACTTGGATTATTGATGTGATGTTGTGGTTATTTTCTCCCCGGTATGGTATAATCCTTTTTTTTTAATTTCCTATTCATTGGTTGGATTCACGGGGTCATAAGAGGTGTGTTTTAGGCACCTCCTATTGAGCTATTGTGCTCATCCCATCATTTTAACATTTTTTAGGTTCGGGAAAGAAAGTGGTGGAAGAGCATCCTCCACAAGTTCAAAAGGGGCTAGAAGTTCAATTTGTTATCTTTTGTATTTTGAGTCCATTCATTTGTAAAGCATTCCCTTGTCAATGTATTAAGTTTGTATAGCTTGGCCATGTAATGTAACCAAGTTACATTACTCACTACCAGAGAAAATGGGTGCCAAGGAGACCTTTGAAAGAGATATTCCCAACAACGGAATTGCCAATTTGAGGGAACAAACGTAGATCGTGCAGCATTGCCCAAATGAGTAGGATGATGGAACTATACATAGCAATGGTGTTACTTATATAAAAATATGAAACATATGCTTTATAACCCATGCCTGCTTGGTGTGAATGATCATGATCATTAGAATTATTTGTCTATGAGCAGAGAATTTAGTTTAACCTGCTTGGCCAAATGCAATGGAGTATCTTGATATGTTTGATTGATGAACAAGGCAGGTCGGGGTTTTTAAGCAGATAAGAGATTACGTTGGCTATGCCCTTCTTACCAGCCACATGAAGAATATTTTGACCATCGTAGTTGTTGATGATGGATTCTGCGCAACCCGGATCTGATCCGACTTTCTAAACAAAGAGAAGAAAAGGTGATCCTACAAACATTGGTGTGTTATCAGTGGAGTAGGCTCCGACGAACAAGTCAGTGTGCGAAGTAATCTCTCTGGAGAAATCAAGAAATTGAGTTAGGATTTATTACGTACCTCCAAACATCAATTAGCCCCCTTTATTTATAGGGCTTAGGTCAAGATGTCACGTAGAGTTACCATTATCTTCATCCTTATCATAATCAGTAGGCTTAATTATCTATAGATTTAATCCTTATCGTAATCTGTAGGTTTAATCCTTATAGTAATCTGTAATATTTATCGTAATCTGTAGAACATATCTCAATCTTGTGAGGTAGTGCGTTAATTTAACAACCTTCCCTTATCCACGGGTATTTAATTTATACATCCGTCAGTAGTCGAGCAACTCCTTTGAATCGCAGCGAAGTTTGAGAAACTCCTTGATAATATTGACATGGCCGGCCTCTCTTGGATGCCCAATGAATGGGAAATGAGCCATCCCCATCCCGGTCTCTTATGTATATATGCAGCAGTTGTATATTTACTTTCGCCAAAGAAGTAGCGAACGCCCTCAATGTAATTTGTTGCTAATGCATAGGAAAGAGGAGACCTCTCTTTTCCATCATATGCACATAAGTATGTTGATTGCCCATTCAGCATAGCATTTAGGACATCTGGTATTTATTTTTGGTAAAAAAACACAATTTATGAATATCATATATTAACCCTTAAATAGTAAAAATATATATACACACACACACACCTGTGTTTCTTGCTTTGATGGCAGCGGGCACAACTGACCTGCCTTCTAGGTTTCTTATGTCAGCTGGTCCAATATTCTGCATCATAAGCTGAACAAGCTGTACATGCCCTTTTTCGGTAGCCATGAACAGTGGGGACATATAATCGGCATTTTGACGTGTGCACACTTGTGGGTTCTCCTCAAGTAAGACCATAGCCATATGATAGTGACTATTTTTTATGGTCACTTTTTGTATATATGCATGTGTTTAAAAGTGGTATCTCAATGAAGGTAAATTATGTTTTTTCATGTCTTTATTCTTTGAAAACTATGAGACTTTAGCTCCATTAAATAATAAATATGAGTCATTAGTATCATTTATATGTAATTATTACCTTTTAGTTAATATGTCAATGAGTTTTGCTGTATTATTGGAAACTGAAAATTGCTTGGATAGTGTCCAAGAGGAGATTTAGTGTTGAATTTGAGAGTGATGCTACCAGTTATTCAGGTTGTTCAAGGAGCTTCAATGGCTGATAATAATAATAATAATAATAATTTATATATATATATATATATAGGAGCTTCAGTGGGATCTACTAACATAGCAACTATAGTTCAAGATATATACGTCATGTGATCTAGTTCAACATGCTGCATTCATCAAGGTTGGATCATCCTATACGTACCTGCAATTGGGCTGTGCTCATAAATTTGCCCGAGGGCAGTAGAAAAAATTATTTTAATCAGTACTTTCACCAGTATCCCTGTTAAGGTATTTTTTATTTTATTTTTTATTTTTTTCTTTTGTCGTCTCATCGTCGTCAAGAAAAAAGTGAATAATTATCTTAACTCCGTCCCTGCACAGAAGAGGATCTAAATTCTAAAATTTGATGATTCTGATAATTTTGGGCAGACATTGGTTTCAACCTAACATATAGTAGTAATTATTTTTAAATTTAATTAGTAAATTATTATTTTCTGATGATACTTGTGTGCTCCAAATAAAAACTAACATTCACTTTAACAAAACACTCGTATTAGTTTAGATAAGCATGATCCATTGCTTTTTGTTGAAGGCTGTTATGGGATAATACTAGGAGTGAGACTTGGGCCCCACGCCAAAACTACATGTCTAGCATCATTGCTTGTGCTAAGTCAGAAACTCATAATTGCACGAATTAGTATTTGGAAATAATTTAAAATCTTATATCCTTTATTATTTTGCTTCCATAACTAAAATTATGTTACTAAAGGCTAAGTGTGTCAAAGTTAGGTGAATTCCCTACTATAAATAATTAAATATTAAATATCTAATTTAAACACATACTTCCGATTGTTCGATTGGTAAAACATTTATCCAACAAAAATCGGGGTCTAAATTTTAAACCGAGTTGCTGGGTTTGTCCCACCACTAGAAATGCGAGCTTTAACTCTCCATTATTATTATTATTATTTTTATATTTCCATTAATTTTCGGAAATGAAAATAATAATAATAACTTCTCATTAATCGATGCCACGTGCAAGGCAGGTGTTCTTTCCTACTAAATTGGTCTCAGTAGTATGTGTGACTATTTTATGTGAAAACTGGACGCTAGAGTGTGGGTTACAGAAAAGATGGCATCACCGGATCGAAACCCAGAAATCAGGAAGGACGCAGTGAACAACCGGTGGGTCATTTTCTCTCCGGCCAGAGCTCGGCGACCTTCCGATTGCAAATCCAAATCTAATCCTAACCCTAACAACAACCAATCAGAGTGCCCCTTCTGCGCAGGGCATGAACACGAATGTGCGCCCGAAATCTTCCGCGTCCCACCAGATTCCACCTCCAATTGGAAAATCAGAGTCATACAGAACCTATACCCTGCTCTCAGAAGAGACCTCGAACCCTCACTAACCCAAAACCCCAACCCTAACCCTAATACCGGTGGGTCGGCAATGATCGGGTTTGGGTATCACGATGTTGTGATCGAGACGCCGGTTCACCCGATTCACCTGTCCGATCTCTCGCCGGTCGAGGTCGGAGAAGTTTTACTAGCTTATAAGAAGAGGATCGAGCAACTTCTCAGTCATGATTCCATCAAATACGTTCAGGTTTGTTACTGATTTTCAGTGTTCTTTTACTTGTTTATAGTTCGTAATTTGTGGGTTTATGTTTATTGCAATGATTTATGCTACATAAAAACTGAAAGCGTAGTCCAGTACAATTAACTTGTTGATCAAGTGACATTACAAGTGGGTCTAGTTTATATTTAACAAATTCCATAAAAAATAATCAACTCATTTGGATTACGTTAATAATTCATCAGAGTGATTGGTATATTCTGTTACAATTATTTGAGGTTTTTGATGCTTTGTTTGGTTGCATGGAATTGGAATCGGAGGAAATTTAGTTTAAACTAGTCCTATGATGAAAGAGTACATGTGGTCAGAACATGAAGCGATCGGGGAGGTATTAGGATCCCTGGGATGCTTACCTCTGAATATGAAAATGCCATGTGGTATCCACAGGAAAGGTGAGCGGTGGAGGTAGGCATGACACAGGACTACGGCACGACTCAAGCCCGTGGTCATGAGCTTGGTGAGCCCTAACATCGGGAGGGTGTTACTGCAAAAATGTGAATGTGCCCGGGGTCTAGGGTAGTACGAGTGATTGGTATATTCTGTTACAATTATTTGAGGTTTTTGATGCTATGTTCCGTTGCATGGAATTGGAATTGGAGGAAATTTAGTTTAAACTAGTCTTGTGATGAAAGAGTACATGTGGTCAAAACATGAAGCAATCGGAGAGGTATTAGGATCCCTGGGATGCTTACATGTGAATATGAAAATGGCATAATACAGGTCTACGGCATCATGATTAGGATCTTGAGCCCGTGGTCATGAGCTTGGTGAGCCATAACATCGTGAGATTGTTACTGCAAAAATGTGAATGTGCCCGGGGTCTAGGGCAGTATGACTGTGTTACTGTGAAAATGTAAATGGGATTTAATTAATAAGTTCCTATTCAAAGAGATAAATTTATAGATTGAAGGATGGATTGCCATGTCACTTTGACACCCACAACATATATGACAGATGAATTTGTACAATGGTTGGTTTGGAAAAATGTGGGTCTTTGGGATAAGTTATTTTAATATTCTTTCACCAAGCGCGGTTGATGTTATTTGCACATACACATTATCATTAAATTTCTTGTTTTTTTTATTAAATTAAATATTTTGTATTTTAGTAAATTAAATATTTTCCTTTGGTAAGGATAACTGATATTAATTGATGTTGGTTTTGTTATTTGAAGGTGTTCAAAAACCATGGTGCTTCAGCTGGGGCATCCATGAGTCATTCTCACAGTCAGTTAATGGCCCTTCCAATTGTACCCCCCACAGTTTCTGCCCGTATGGAGAATATGAAGGAGTACTTTGATCAGAAGGGGAAATGTAGTCTTTGTGAGAATCCATTGAATGACCTTCTAATTGATAAGTCAACCCATTTCATTTCAATTGTTCCCTTTGCTGCTACATTCCCTTTTGAGATGTGGATCATTCCTCAGGAACACACCTCCCATTTCCATGAACTAGATGGAGAGAAGGTAATCATCAGTGCTCCTTTAATCTTGTAAAATATTGTACCAATTTGTTTTCTAGAAAGTAAAATGTGAATTGGTAATCAGATGTCACTTTTGCTGAATAATTTTGAACATATTAGAGACGATGACAATAAAAATTATAGGCTTTCTTATACAAGGGTTGGCCTTGTCTCAGTAGGTTTTTGAAAGTACTTGTTTTGCCTGTGAGTGAAAGCAAGACAAGGGGAAGAAACAAAAGAAGAGATTCATAATAAAAGTCAACTTCATTTCAGAACTAATCACTATAGAATACTCTTAACATTCATTGCTTACCTTAATTGGTCAAATAGAAGGTAAAACTACCGGAAAGTGGTTTAGTTAAATTGAAGTTTACGAGCTGCATTGGTTAGTGACCACTGGCCAATTACCTTTTATCTTATAATATACCTCTCAGCCAGTTTTAAAATAGTTGGGACTAGCGCTTGTGGTAACTGTTTTTCACTGCCAGTGAAGCACAAAAATGTTAATATGATGGTGGGGTAAGTTTCGAGAAATAGTTTAGTTATGGGACTTATGGCATTGGAAAGTAATGGCTGAGGAGGAATAGAAGAGATGAAGGGCTGGTGCTGCTTTCTTAACATACATAAAGTTGAAGCACATTACTTCCATTCCACCACTGTTTCCTTCAAATTTCATGTTGGTATATTATTTCTTTATGTATCCAATTTGTTTATTTATGAGAAAAAGGGGAAACAAAAATTGTTTTGGATGAAGAAAACAATTGACTAATGAAGTACAAGGATTAGCTTCAACTAAGGTATATGCTAAGGATGTTGCTATAAATTATTGCTGACTTTTTTTTCTTTCTGAACCCTCAACCCCACATATGGGAGGATGAGAAGATTCCAAATGAGCCAAGGCTTAGTGGTAGATTATTGCTGACCTTAATGATAATGAAGACAACATGAACACTGAGTTAGATCAGGTAGAGAAAATTCATGGCAATTAGAATGCCGCATCATTCACAGCAGTAAATTGTTGTGCAAAAGAAATATTATTTTATTGCACTTATTGGTGATCGTGAAATTTCAACTTTTTGTTTGTAATTTAAAATATTGAAACACTACATAATGTGCGCATTTGTTGCAGGCAGTTGATCTCGGAGGGCTACTGAAACTTATGCTTATAAAGATGTCCTTGCAGTTAAATGATCCGCCATTCAATTTCATGATTCACACTTCTCCAGTTGAGGTCACCCCTTTGCAGTTGCCTTATTCTCACTGGTTTTTGCAGATAGTACCCCAATTAACAGGGGCTGCGGGTTTTGAGATGGCAACTGGATGCTACATAAATCCTGTTTTTCCGGAGGATGCTGCAAAAGTTCTGAGAGAAGTAAATATTATTAATTAGATGAATTTTGACAGCCTTAGACTCCAAAATTCCCATCATATTTTAGATGAAATTATGATATATGTTTTGCTCTGTACTCCTCTCCAAAGTTTATTTTCTTTTTTATCTCTCAAGAAACGACCCTATGCTTACCAAAATACACACGAACAAACTTGATAGAGTGGTAACTGTTTCCAGAATTTATAAAGACCTTATTTGCACAAAGCAAGGATCTCTTTCAGCAATACTCATGGTCATTGCAAGCCCAAAAGATGGTATTCCTGTGGTATAGCCCCCTTGTGATGATAGCAGCTTGTGAAGCACAGAACCAAGAACCACAATTTAATTGGGAAGGTAAATTTTATTCAGAAAAAGAAGAGTTTTGAAAGATGTTAGACAAAGGTCATCATTGGTGAAATGTAATATATGTAGAGGCTGGAAACATCCGACGAGCTCATCGATGTTTTTAATAAACGATGCAGTAGAGGTATACGAGTTTAGCAATTTACAAGTGAATCAAGAGAGCAATCCCCAGTTGGTATAGGATCTGTTTGATTAGTGGCCAATTAGGTTAGTTTTTGACTACTTTTTTCTTCTTATGATACTAGTACCTATCAGCATATGTATATTTTGATAGCGAGGAGTATTTGGTCGAGAGGTGACTTGTCCAGCTATAGCTAGGTGGTGGGATTCGCGATGACTTCTTTTGGCATGTATTCTTGACATATGAGCTACACGAAGTTTTTGATGTTTACTGAGAATGTTGAGATGAATTGATCACAATTGTATTGCTAATGAAACTAATATTTTGATGTGAGAGATATATTATTATTGTCTGGAGAAACGCTTGTGTAGTCTATTCAAATAGAAAATGATACATCTGACAAAAAAATTAAGGTTTTATTATTAGGGGTGGGTCTTGGGCGGGACTAACCAACTAACTAAGCAACCTATTCTTGCCGAAAAAGAAAATTGTACGGAGTGGGTAAGGTAGTTGAGACCATGGGATAATAATTTTTATAAGGAAATCCGAAAAATCCAAAGAACCAAAATATAAGAATATTTTATAATTTTTATATTTAAATTAAACTATTTATAGTATTATCAATCATGAATTTACCATATGAGATTTCATATTACAATTGATTTTCGTCATACCTTTGTCGGTTGATGCGATTGGTATATCGAAACTCGGGCTTAGGTATGTCTGTTGATGCGATTGGTATATCGGAACGAAACTTGGGCTTGGGCTTAGGTATGTCGGTTGATACGATTGGTATATATTGGTATGTCGGACTTGACAGTAAGATATTACAACATTGGGTTTGATGTGCCTGACAAGCCTGAGTCCCACCCCTATTTATCACTCCATTCATCATGTGTACTGGAGGGTGATCTCCATCTCTCCTTTTCTTTCCCTTCATTTTCCATTTTCCTACCAAATGAAGCATTAGTCCCAGAAAGCGCGCAAAAGATTGGACCAAAACAACACGTTAGAGAACCTGCATCTCACCTTAAATGATGAGAATGCAACACAATCCATTTTCAGATTATATGGCAAAAGGCCCCTTAATTAATCTATTCTAAGTTTGGATTAATTAAGGGGCCTTTTGCCATATAATCTTAAAATGGACTGTGATTTTGGTAAAAGAATCTTTTTTCTATACCTCCTCCAGTTTGTCTGTTTCTTTCATCACTTTTCCAAAATAAAATGGACTGTGAAATTTCTAACCAGAAGAATTTCAGAAGTTGAACTATGGTACTGATTAGAGTCCCATTCAAACTTAACACTTTCTTTTAAAAAAAAAAAATAGCTCTACATAAGCCCTAGGCCCACAAGCATAGAGCTGTGATTATAATTTTTTTTTTTTTAAATAAATCTCTTTATTTCAATTTTAATTTATACATAAGCTAGTAAATTGAACAGAATCAAAAAAAGAGTACATGGTACAAACAGGGCTGTGCAAAAAGGGGGCAAATCGTCTCAAAACTTCTTTAGATCAGAGATGACAATCTCTCAGGTCAACAACAATGAAAAAGCAAAAAATAATTAGATCTCAAATATGTCCAAGTTTTGCAGTAGTTTTCATCTTTCAAGGTCAGCAGTCCACTGGGGATTTCATTTCCTCAACTAAATAAAATTCACCTTTATCTGTACAATTTGTGTGAAAATCTTCTTCAACTTTCTATTTGAAAGAATCATTTTGCAAAGTCCAAGCCTTGTGTTTCTCTACTACCTGTTTATAACTCATGGTACCTGATTTCCCGAACCAAACTTAAATCACCAAACTTTGATCTGCATATATGCACCACGATCAAGAAATTGGCGAGAATCAAAACTTACTATTTTTTATAACAATGGCAAGAAAGGACTATCATCTCATAAGGGCTTGCAGGGAAAGCCGATTTACGTGATCTTATAGTCTCCTTGAATGCGGCATGAAGACATTCCTGTGGAACAGAACACAAGGAGAAAATAAATATCGATAAACAAAGCTTTGGTTCTCTTGTAATCTTCTATGCAATGATGATAATAAACCGGATGCCAATTATCGAGTGCAACATCAAGGCAAAAGGTATTTCTGCCATTATTTGTCCAAGAAGGTTGGAGTGTCATATTATTCACTTTTTTGATGAATACAGTAGAAATGAGTGTACCCTGAATTGGGTGCTGACTGGAGAGTAGAAGTAGTGCAGCAAGAGTGGAATGGATGAATTTAAGATGAAGCTCTACTATAGATTGTTTTTATACCCTTATGTTATATAGCCTTTTATAACAATCAATCAGAAGATGACACACTTATTAAAGACGTTAACGTGGAGACATCTGCTGAAGATTAAAGTAATACAGTCCTAAATAGTTGATGATAGTAACGTATTAAATGGTAGATTCGAGGAAGACAAGAGACGGATCATCACAAAGATTTGTTAGAGAAGGCTCTCAAGAACCGAGACTAGTCCTAGGAATTTTTTAGCTGGGTGTTGCATTTGCATGTAATCTTATCAGTCGAGTATTCTGTATTCTCTTGGTATTCATACCAAAGACCTGAGATTGAACCCTGCCTTGCATGAATTGGGGGAGGAAGAGTTTCTATGCCTAGGGGAGGTCTATTAACCATCATGCAGCCCTCATTCCCAATGGAGAAAGACGGAGAATATTTGAAAGCTTACCTCTTCAAAGCTCCAGATACAAAAGGGCAAGTGCTGAAAAAGCTCGCCAAGGAAGAACCAAATTGCTGTTGACAATGCTCTCAAGCACATCAGAGCAGCACAAACTTGAAAGCACCGTGTCTTGCAAAGATAAATTAAGTTGGAAGTGAATTGGAGAGCCTCATAACAGTTCCAGTACCATCGAATTTCAATAGAATAACCCAGAGAGAACAAGCACAAAGTAAAAGCTCGTCAGAAGGATCTCTGTTTGTTTGATTCCTTCACCTGACAAAAGCAAATAAAGCGAGGATAGGAATAACCAGCGAAGTAACTACTTATCAGAGAAAAGAATTTGTTATTATCCTTGGATACAATATAGAAAACCAGTAAAAAGAGATTTTTATTAGCCTTGGATATAATAAAGAAACCAAATAAACATACCTTGCAAGCTCATTGAGGTAACTTATAGAACAGCTGTAGAAGTATTATTTTGGAGACGTGATGAAAGAAACAGACAAAGTGGAGGAAGTATAGGAAAAAGATTCTTTTACCAAAATCACAGTCTATTTTGTTACTTTTTAAAAGCATGCTAGAAAAAAAATAAAAGGTGGAGGCTGAAGAAATTACCAAATGCTGTCATAATAAGTAGAGGCCAAAATCATCATTGGAGACAAAGATTGTCATCATCATCCTTGCCTTGGAGACTAAGATGTATTATCAAAACTTCAAGTGCCTAATCACTCAACCTTCTTTCCCTGATCAAATTTCTGCAGTTTAAGTTACCAATAATCTTTACACGAACAGAAACCTCCTTCAAAATGATGAAAGCGGTATACATCTCGTACTACAATAGTCCGGTTTGAAATCTTTGATACAAACTTAATCCAATTATGGCAATCATTGCAGACACGAAGGTTCTTAATCACACGCAACGGTATTGTACTTGACAAGCTTAGGAGACCAAAAGTAATAGCCAGTTTTTCACTGTGAATGTGCACAGTTGGGTCTTTCTGCCCCAGCTCTGTATCATTCAAAAGGCTGTAACGGTCTTGTACGTAACCAATAGCAGCAGCCCTTTTGTTCAGATCCTCTAAGTATTCATATATGTTATCCGCCAGCGGATGGAGTCTATCGCCCACAAAGAATGCGTGAACTGAGTTCTCCACCTCAATCCAGCTACGACCAGGCTCTTTCTTAACACCTCTGTCTTTCATCATTTGCCTCGTCTGATCCCTACAAGCCCATTTTCCAGCCAGTGCATACATATTAGAAAGGAGAACATAAGTTGCTGAGTCTTCAGATTCCAGTTCTAGAAGATGATGGGCGGCAAATTCTCCAATTTCCATGTTCTTATGAACTGTGCAAGCACTTAGGAGGGTCCGCCAGACCATGGCATCTGGTTCAATTGGCATCCCCTTTATAAAGTCTCTTGCACGGCTCACAAAGCCAGCTCGTCCAAGAATATCTACTACACAAGCATAATGTTCTGGTTTAGGCACTAGGCCATGCTCTTCGCTCATGGATTTGAAATAGCTGAGCCCCATGTCTACCAAACCCACATGGCTACAGGCTGCTAAAACACCTACAAAGGTGACATAGTTTGGCATCACACCAAGCTGTTTCATTTCCTCAAAGAGTTTTATTGCTTCAGTACCATATCCATGTTGAGAGTAGCCTGTAATCATGGCATTCCATGAAACTTCATTTTTCTCGGGCATTTCAAGGAATTCTTTTTTGGCATCATCAAGGCTCCCACATTTTGCATACAATGTGATTAAAGCATTGGAGACCTCAGTTTCTGTATCATGCCCTGTTTTTATTATCTCAGCATGAATCTGCTTCCCTTGTTTTATGTTTGCTGTATTGGCAGCAGCACTAACAGCAGAACAAAATGTGAATATATTAGCTTCTACTCCAGCTCGATTCATTCGAGAGAACACCTGTAATGCTTCCTCACAGTGCCCACTCTGAGCAAATCCCGATATCAATCCATTCCATGAAATATTATCTTTAGCATCAATTTTGTCAAATGCTAAGTATGCATCTTGTATTCTACCACATCTAGCATAAAGACAAACCAGTGCATTTCCAATTGAAAGATCCATAGAGTAACCAGAGACAATTGATTGAGCATGAATTTGTTGTCCTTGATTGAGTGCTTGAATTCCAGCACATGCACTGATCGCACTTGAAAATCCTATGTTGTCTGAACGAATCCCTTGGTCTTGCATTTCTTGAAAGAGTTTAAGAGCTTCGCCAAACAAATCATGTTGAGCATAGCCAGCAATCATAGCTGTCCAGGATACAACATCTTCTTCATTGAGTCGTCTAAGAATTTTCCAAGCAGTGTCCAGTTTTCCGTGCTTGGCATACATATCTATAAGCACACTACAAACATAAACATTTGGCTGAAAGCCAGTCTTAATGACTTGGGTATGGATTTGCTCTCCTAGATCCAAAGCTCCCACGGAAGTACATGTTTTCAATATACTTGGGTAGGTGTATTGATTAGGTCTCAAGCCTTCAATCTGCATCTGAGAAAATATCTGGAGTGACTCACTCAGATTACCCATCTGCCCATAAGCCACTAGCATCACATTCCATAGAACCACATTTTCAGTCTGAGTTGTAAGGAAGAATTCACGGGCAATTTCAATGTCGGAACAATTCACATAAAGGTCAAGCAAGGAACCCTCAATAATGATATCTGAAGAAACACCAGCCTTTATTGCATATGAGTGGAGTTGTTCTCCCTTATGAAGAGCACCAACTGATGCACAGGCACTCAAGAGGCTTGCAATTGTAACACAATCAGGTTTGAATGAATCAAGCTGCATTTTCTCAAATAACAGTAGAGCCCTCTCACTGAATCCGCACTGAGCCAGCCCTGAGATGAGTGAATTATACGAAATTTCATCCCTGTAAGGCATTTTGCTCAAAATTTGTTCAGCGCATATCAAGTTCCCACCACGGGAATACAATGTAATAAGAGCATTACTAACGTAAGTTTCAGATGCAAGTCCCCATTTGAAAACAAGGGCATGAAGCTGCTCTCCAATCTTAAATAACTCTATTTTCGTGCAGGCACTTATAACACTTGAAAAGCTAAATGGAGTGGGGATAGTTCCTGACACAAGCATCTCATGAAATAGGAGAATGGCTTCTTCTTCATGTTGGTTTTGAGATAAACCAGAGATCATAGCAACCCAAGAAACACTATCCCTCAAAGATAATCTTTGAAATACCATTCTAGCAGAACTAACAAACCCACTCTTCGAATACAAATCAATTAATGGATTACAAACAATTGGACTTGCAGCAAAACCAAGACGGATAATCTTAGCATGAATCTGTTCAACACAATGGAAAGTGAACTTACCACCACCGCATGCCCTGAGAACATTTTTCAATATAATTTCATGTGGAACCACATTTTCTGCTAGCATTCGTGAAAACATTCCCAATACTCTAGCCGTGAGCTTCTTTCCAACAAATTCAGAAATTACTTTATTCCAAAAATATACACTTCTCTTTGGCAAACTGTCAAGAAGCTGGAGTGCACTATCTAAATCATCAAAAGCAACATAAACATCGACAAGCCGGCTACAAATGGCATCCTCCGCGCCAAAACCAGACTTCAAGATCGCCCCATGAAGCTTCTTAGCATCTACAAAAGAGCCAGAGTTGAGACATCCTTCTAAGAGCCAGAGGTAAGTCTGATGATTCGCGGAAACTTCACGCCGTCCCATCAAATTGAGAGAATCAATTTGACCTCCTTCCATTTCTTCAACCGGAAATTCATTAAGAGCTTGAGAAATCGCAGTAGTACCAAAAGCAGCCAAATTTAATTTACCCACATTACCAAAAAAGTACTGAAACATTCCCACAAAATGGGGAAAAGGGAAAAGACACAAAATCAATATGAGAGCTAGTATATTAGCAAAACAACACAGGTCTCATGGAAAACAATTGAAGTAGAAATGAGAATTACCTTTTGAAACTTTCTGGTTGATTTGCGCGAGAAATGATGAAACAAGGAATTTGAGAAGGACTCACAAAGCGAAATTGGGTTTGGAACCATGAATCCTTGAATTTGAGTCACCATCAATGCCTACGAAGAAGAAAGAGCTCTATCATATACCTTTTCCTATTCCTTAGCAGCTAATTGGAATTACAAAGACAAGTAGGGAAGCTAACAACAAAGTCAAATACTAAACTCGCGCACACTCTTTCTGTCTCTCTCTCAAAGTGCATATATATATGTTGTACAAACCGACACACACTATATAGTATGATATATATATATATATATATATATATATATATCTCTGCCTCGCAAATCTTATATGGAGGCTTCACAATGGCCAACGGTAACCAACGGTCTCGGTTTTGGGGGAAAAAAATGTATAATAGTGAATTAGGATCCATGAGAGAAATTTTTTTAAAAAAATAAAATAAAATTAACCCATGATAAATAAGTTTGCAAATTAGTCGCCAGATATGTCTTGAAAATCATTAAATTATTTTCAAGATTTATTATGCAAAACTCTAAAACTTTAAAACAATTGTATGTTATTTCTTGGAAATTTGGAATTTGTGGTTAGAGTAAAAACTTTATTATAGTTTAGAGGAATTTATGCAATTAATTAAGAAATAAATTTAATTTTTTTAAAAGTCACGATCTTTGCCATTTATTGCTTTCAAAAAAAAAATTTGTTTTAATATTTGGAATTTATCTGCTGCACTTTAGAGGGTTTGATGCCTTGACTTTAGCCCTATTGCCAAGGAAAATTGAACTGCATAAACACAAACCCCACTCGACGACGTCGTCTCCCTGTTCTATGCTTTGCCTCCCTCGAAAGCTCGCTCTACCCTTTCAAACTGCAAACCCTAGAAGGGAAAACATCCTACTCACATGGCAATTGCTCGGACCGGAGTTTTCGTCGACGACTACTTGGAGTGTATGCTTCTCTGCAATTCCCTCTATTTGTACTTTTTGCTTTCAATTTTTTATTTTTTATTTTTGAAATTTCATTAACTTTGTGTTGGGTATTGAATCCGAATTTCAAATAGATGCAAGCACATTGCCTGCAGAGCTACAGAGAGTTCTCAATACCGTTAGAGAACTCGACGATCGTTCCCAAGGTTTCCCCTTTACATATTTGTGAAATTGAATACATTCTATCTATATATACAGACATATACATATACATACATATATTTGTTATTTATTAGGGTTTTTGTGTTTCTGTTAGAAACTTATGATACTTCAAATTATAATGTTGTTTGAAATTTGGGTTAAAGCTATGGTAAATCAAACTAGGCAGCAGACAAGGTACTGCTTGGGTTTGGCTTCTCAGGGCTCCAAGAAAGGAAACGGTGAAGCAGACGAGGCAGCATCCGAGAAAATGAGAAAGGAAATTGAGGCGAACCAGGACAATGCATTGAGCCTCTGCACTGAGAAGGTTTTATTGGCACGGCAAGCTTATGAGCTTGTGAGTTAAAATTATTGTTGTTTTTGCTCAATTGTTGTGCTTATGAGCTTGTGAGGTTTTATTGTTGTCAAGACAACGTAAGTAATTAATCATCATTAAACGTAATGACTGTCATTTAATAACCAAAGCTTATTGTCACCGCGCATGCAACACATGAGAGCTGAGGACGACTCTGCATGATGTCTGGGCATGTGTAGATAATATGATTAGGGAGTCTTTCAGAGTTGTGTAGAGAATGGTGGAGTATGGGAGAATTCTAGAAAGTTGTAGTAGTTGGGAAAATAGGGAGTAGGTAGAGTTGTAGATATTCTAGAAGAGTTTTTTGGAGAGTAAATCTTAACCATTGGTTATAATGTATTCTAATCCTCTTTTTAAAGAAGATGTCTATAAATAGGGTAGAGGTTTCATTTGTAGCAAATAATTCTAAAATTTGGAAGAGAAGTGTGGGTGATAGGTAAATTAATAGGGGAGTAATAATTACATATATGATATAATGAATTATATCATTTTGATAGCAATGTCCTGTCACTCCCTTGTAGGTCATTCCCGAAACATTTAGAAGGAGCAGAGATAGTAAAGTAGAAATTCCGTAACTTTGTACAAAGATACAGGTTCAGGGAGATGTTGAGACTGATGAGCAGTTGACAGCGCCAGAGATTACATCCAGGAATTCTCCCAGAGACAGACGTCCTTCCACTTGATATTCAGCAGAGCTTATTGACTGACGCGGGAGAGCCCAACAAATTAAATTAAATTTTGTATATCATTACTAATTACAATCATTTTAAGTTAACGTCTAACAATGAAATTGCTTCATCCGTTAAATTGCAATTCATTAACGCATCCATATTCTCTTAATATAGTCACAAGCGCATCAATCTCTCTCCTTGCTTTCTTTAGAAATTTCAAAAGAGCTTTCAATCTGTTCCCTCTTGTCAACAAACAAACAATCTCTCTCCAAATCATCTCATTATGGTTGAACCCAAATTGTGTCTCAACCCAATGGTAGAACTCCATTGCCTTTTCCAATCCTAAGATAAGCTGCAAGACCAAGAACAAGCACACCATTGCGAGCTCTATTGTATTTCTCTGTTTGAGAGGTGCTGAATGTTGGAAACCTTTTTGACAGCTAATGGATCTTGTGGATTGGAAGAAGAATCTTTGGAGACGCCCACTGCCACCATGATTAAAGACTATCTCCAACATAGTGATATAAGCACCATTATGCCTTTACCGCAGTAACTGCAAGCCTTTCACGTGTTAGGGTGTTAATGGTTGTTTAACAAACTGTGCAAGCCCCATGAAACTGCTATTTGTTACAGGGGACAAAGATATGCTGGCAGGTGACATTATGTCATTATTTGACCTTCAGATTTTTTTTCTTTTTTCTTTTTTTTTTTTTTTTTGGTTAAACATTGCGACATGTATAGCACTTCCTTTTCTCTGACTCATACATTATCAAGAATAGAGCTCCCATGTGTGGGGGTAACTTTTAACAGCAAGAAAACTCTAATAATTCATAGATTTGCCCAAGCTAAGGTTTTGGCACATACATTATCAACAAGAAAGCTCCCTTTATGCATAAATTTGCCCGAAGACTGGGTTTGTGGTAAGTATGGATGAATGTTTAATTCTTTGTTTTCTTAGTTGGTACTCACACACCCATATGTGCCTCCACTTAAGCTTGAACCCCTAACCTTCCTTTGGAAAGTAGGGGCTTGGTACCGCTAGGCCACTGGCCCGTTGGTGATGAATGTTTACTTTGTTATCAAGTTTCTTCTTCAATAGCTCTAGACCATTTGAGAGCCGTTTGTTCTTGCACATCCTTTTGACTATATGCTATGGTAGAACATTAACTCCATATTTTCGTTCGAAGTCTGTTTATTCTTTTAAGTTCTTGAGAGTTTGAGCTTATTATATTTCTTACCTTCTGCAATTCTTTCAGATAGATAGCCATGTAAAGCGTCTTGATGAGGATCTGAACAATTTCGCAGAAGATCTAAAGCAAGGTGCTGTTTTCTTATAATTTCAAAATGCAAGTTTTAAAGGAAGTTTAAAAAATAATAATAATAAAAATAATTGAGCTAAAGTGATGAGGCTTTATGTAGACCACTAGAAATTTTTTAGACTGCGACAACACTATAAAGTTCTTTTTGCCCAAGGGGTTGGCTCAAGTGGGTAGGTCACTTGGCCCTGGTGCCTCAGGAAGTATCAGGTCTAAGGTTCGACTCCTCTTGGGTGCAAACAATTCCTTGAGGGGGTGTTCAATGTGGTCTAGCAACACAAACTTTTTTATTCTTGTAAGAGTTCTCCATCTGGGAATTATAAATAGTTGAGGTAATTTTCTTATGTAGTTTAGGTTTGCCAATTTTCCTTTTATTTGATATTTGCAGAGGGTAAAATACCACCAGATGAGCCAGCAATCCTTCCCCCATTAGCTATAGTCCCCAAAAATGAAAAACGCAAATCTTTCTACGGAACACCTCAATTAAAAAGGCTCGATTACACAGACAGGGACTGGGACCGGGAGCGTGACAGGGATTTTGAGCTCATGCCTCCTCCAAGCACCCTCAGAAAGGATTTTGCTGCACCTATTGATGTAGAGCTGCCTGTTGATCCAAACGAACCTACCTACTGTGTCTGTCATCAGGTTCTGACTTCTGCTCTACTGTTCCTTCCATTTTTTAATTCTTTCTCAACTTAAATCCTCTTGCATGTTTTGAAGTGTTTGACACTTGAATGATTTGGTAACTATGTTCAGTAACATACTATAATTACCTTAATCTTTCAGGTGTCTTTTGGAGATATGATTGCCTGTGACAATGAAAATGTATGTTCACCTTCTTCTTTTTTCCTTTTTCAGTAGTTGTTCTATACTTGGTTTTCTTCGTATCTTGTTGACATCTATTTATTAGATATAGAATATTTTTGGATGCAAGAACATGGTGCAAAATCTTTGAAAAAAAATCTGCCAAAAAATGCTTATGGGGTTTACATGTAAATCAATACTTGGAGATATAGAAAATCTGGCAGGGGACGTGATTATAAGTGTGGGTCAGGATACATACAAAACCAACAAAGTGTGAGCTGAAAGGCAAATGTCTGATGTATTGACATATGCCATAACCATACGCCCGAATGTGGATTGACACAAAACTTATGAGGCCCAACTTTCTTGTGGTGTAATAATATGAGTTTCTCCCTAGATACTAATTTCTACTTATTTTTACTCAATAATACAAATAATAAAATAGTAATTTCAAACATTTCCTATTGTGCTGAACTATCTGCCTCTCCCTCTATCTACCAAATTCTCTGAGATGGATGGAGTTAAATGATTGATTGAGGCACTCCCTGAGTCGTGCAGTCCAAGTTCGACTCACCCCATCCTCTCTGCTCCCCATCCTTGCCAGGAAATAATAATAATTGATTGATTGATTGACTAGTTAAAGAAGATGTGGGAGAGAGCAAAAGTTAGGTAAAAATCATGTCATAGCATTTGTTACCCCTCTAGTGACATAAAACCATTTTTCTTTTTAACCGTTTTCTTTTTTTCTCCCCTTCGGTTTGTATACCTAAAACTAGTATAAAGATGGATGGATCCTAACTATACGTTTGCATAGCATAGGAGTTTGGGTTGGAATGGAGATGCAAATAAATAGAAGCCTAATACTTAGGGTTGTTGAATGCGTACCAGTAAGCCTGATACCTGGGGTTGAGGAATGTGTGCCTACCCAGCAGGGCCAGCAACTGTTATATCAAATCACCTAGAGCTAAAATTTTACCACTTTCGGGTGGATCTATTATTGTTAACAAGAAGTGCTCACCCCAGCAGGATGCATTTTTAGGCTTTAGTAGAGAATGGGTGCGTTGTGTCAAATCACACTTCAGTTGTTGGAGCTCTTAGTGGCTTTTATGGGCACCATAAATCAAAAGGTGATTCTAGCACCCGGTACCGTAAAGAGTACAAATGTATATTTAGATAAGCCAAAATCAATCCCACTCTGGAACTATTATAGAGAAATAACTACTGAAAGAAATTCATTTTATCTTCTTCTTTTTAACTGAATGAACTTGAATAGGAATTTTGTGTCATAGCCTTTTAGACGTCACAATTTATAAATTAGTCTGAAGCTACCAATTATATGTTTTTTTGTTCAAGACTCAAGATAATTGTTATCATGTTTACAGTGCCAAGGAGGTGAATGGTTCCACTATGCATGTGTTGGGCTCACACCAGAGACAAGATTCAGAGGGAAGTGGTATTGTCCAACCTGCAGACTACTACCGCAATGAACACATATTGTGCATTATTTAGTTGCTTCAGAGGATTCTTCTAAAGGCAATAATGATGATGATGATGAGAAGACACTATTAGGGAAAGAACTACTTGAAGTAATTAGCGCTGCTGCGTTGTTTCAAAGTAGTTGGATAATCTACTTTTGGTTTGTGTGTCTGTAAATATATGTGTGTTGATTTCATATCATGATGGATGTTTGTGAGAACAGGTTATTTCCCTGAAATTGCAGCACTTTTGGTAATTCGACACTGTAAGCTTTCTTTACTCTCTGCTTCTACTTTGTCTTTCCCTTTTGTGTGTTGTCCCTCTGAATCTATCATAGTTTTATTCATTTACAATAATTGAATATTTATATTTTAGGAAAGCGGCAAATGATCTAAAATTGGATTAGTAGTGTATGTAATTTTAGGGGATTCACTTAAGAGCAACTAGTTTGTCCGGCTCTTTAAGGGAGTGGTGACACCCTGTGTTATTTAGACCATCAAACATCTAATAGATTGATGTTGTTTATAAAAAAATGAAATAATTTATTTTTTATCTTCCCTTAATTTTGTGTTTTGTGTCTTCACACCTTGATAATTGGGTATTTTAATCATTGAATTTTATTACTTAGTAGAAAAGTGTTGATGACAACTGAAAAGTACAGAAGAGAATTCCTTTCTCTTTTTTTTTCTTTTTTTTTCTTTTTTTTTTTTATCTTTATTTGGTTTTGTAGCTGAGAGGGAAATGCCAAAAGAATTGATGTGCTGAAGATCATTTTAACTTAAATTGGAAAATAACATTAGATCTGTGTGATTTGCTTATACATTTTGTGCATAATGGCCAAATCATACTTTTGAAGTTTAGATAGCATGAGAAAAAATAGGAATATTCATTTTCCACATACCTCAAAAATTGTTCATATGCTTATTTCTTAGTTGATATGTGTATTTGCATGAAATTGGCATTGATTCCTTTTCAATTTATATGTATCATGTATGTATATATGTTTGGTTTGATACCAGGATTATGTTTACCAGATGTTCTTTTTTTGAAGTACATGAAAAATCAATTTATCATATGCTAAAGTTCACAAGACAGGATCATCGTCTCCGAACGCGAATACACCAGAGACTAAGATTCTAGAGAAATTGTTGTTCTGAATTGATGCTGAAACCGATTTGGAAGATTCTTGCAAAGGTGAAAACGAAATATGGTAGAACTTTTGGAAATGTTGTTAATTTAAAACTAAAAATGACACATGAAGTGAAACTATTGTGCTTCACATTGAGTTTGGAATATAGTTAATCTAACAATCATGTACGGACCTATGTGCAAGTGGGGTGCTAATGCTCTCTTGAAATTATTACAAAATTTCAGTCTTGTTCTTTCTTATTTAAAGTTTTAGGTCCGCCTCGGCTAACAATTGAAGAATTTAGAATCATAAGAAATAATTTGGACTAGCATTATAACCTCCTCATCCCAAAAAAGAGGGGAAGGATTCAAAACCCAAACATGATCAAAAGGATGTGTTCATTTAGAAAGAAAAAAAATTAGGATGATAAAAAGCCTGCATTTTTTTTGGACAAAAAGATGTGTGTGGATTCCTTACCCCTAAAAAGGATGTGTATGGAGTCAAGCAGCTTGCAAGTCGTTGAAGCACGAGCGTTGTTAGGTGGTTCACATCACTTATATTTGTGATCAGTCAGCATTCTGACGTGGCAACGTGTGATTGGTGGGTGGAGGTACTATGTAGGAGTTTTGCTGCATGGAAGCGAACCCTTTGTTTGTCAGTACTTGCGCAGAATTAGTCTAGGATGACTGGTCGGTTTGAAGAAGTGTCATATTCTGCTTTGATTCTTTTTCTCATATTCGTATTCTAAATTTGAGTTTCTCCGTGAAACAAGAGCGGGAAATAAAAACCTTTTTTGAGCTCCACATCCGTATACGGCACAAATTACGATTTCTGTGCTAGAGTAAATGACAATACTAGATTTGTGTCCTAAATGACAAAACTAGCCCTAACCATTACCTAACAGCAAATGAGATTGATCCAACAAAGAATTTCCTTATCAATGTTCCTCGCGTCAAGGATTAGTCCACGCGCCAAGCCCAAGACCCCCCAATAGTCCATCACATCTCAATCCACGATTTCATGAATTTTTCAGATTCCTCTATCCATCCTAAATTATAGGAGCAAGTAATAATAATAAAATTTGTTAAAGTTTATAACTACGTATACTTAAAATAAAATAAAACCATTCAAGTGACAAAAATCAACTATTAGAATTTGGAAAGAAACATAATTAAATTCATTCTTTTAAAAATATAAATAGAACTCAAATCTTATAATCTTTATTATTTTGTTTCCTTAACTAAAATTCAATTACTATGAATTTTCTAAAACAAGAGTGTCTAAGTTAGGTAAATACCCTTCGATAAATATTAAATCATCTACATTTCACTTTATTTTACATAAGCAACTTATAATATTAAAAATTATATACTTTTCTTGTACTTCAAATTCCTTAGTATATCCCAATCATGCCCAAAATAAATTTAGGCTCTAAAATTTAAACTTAGTCTCGTTCCATGGTCCCAAATACTTTGCCCACTCTTAAAATTTTCAGACGGGACTCAAGTTCCGAATTAGGCTCACCTAAGTTCCAGCCTTACCTAATATTCAAAAATAGTAAATGAGAGGTTCTCTAATTTCATTTAACTAAAATGAAGATTAGTGTAATTTATCATTTTATATCTAATATTTGTTGCACTATTGCAACAATTTATAGATGAATGAAAAAGCTAAGCAACATTGTTTATCAAAATCATCATGTGAAGTAGTAGTACACTACTTTAAGATTTTTTATTTTAATTCTAAATATTCCTGTTGTTTACTTTACACATAATTGTTTGTTAGAATGTGATTAGGTATTCCTCTTAGGGGTAGGATTGTCCAAGAAGGTATATATAGTAGTAGAGAAATAGAAAGGGGGATAGCGGTGGAATTTTTAGAAAAGATTCGAATTCGAAGATACCCTTCCCGTTCAAAGCCAAGAAAAAGGAAACTATTGATTCAGACAACACCATCACAGCTGTATCTATATTTCCTAGATCTCTTTGCTTCTCAAAATTCCAAGTTTCTTAATTCATCCACATTGATTAAGGACAATCACAGAGAAAGAGCACAATAGGAAGAAGCAGAAGAAGAAGCTGCAAAAAAAAAAAAAAAAAAAAAAAAAAAAAAAAAAACCTCAGTTTCTCTCTTCAACACCAGAAGGTACGTTCTTTGTTCTTCAACTCTTACATTTCTCTTACGTTTTTCCAGTTCACAAATTTTCTTTTGTGGTTCAGAATTTGGGATACCCATATGGTAATTTTGATTTCTCGTTCTTCAATTTTAATAACAGTGAAAAAAAAAAAAAAACAAACAAACAAAAAAAAAACCCTTCTTTTTCACTCCCTCTCTCTCATAACCCACAGTGTTGAAAGGTGTAATCTTTTAGACCCATCTTGAATTTATTAGTAAAGAACCCATTTTGAATACGTTTTTATATCATTAAGTTAAAGCTATAGTGACCCAAGTTATCATTTTTCTCTTCAACCTTCACGAATAGGTAGAAGTCCCGGTATGTTCTTGGATATGTCGAAGAACCCATGACCTATCTTGATTTCTTCTGAGTTTTTACTTATTAAATTTAAATTTAAAGACCCAATTCGTCAATTTTCTCAATAAGTAATGTTGGGTTCGTTTTGTGTTCTTCAATTATTGAATTTCTCTACTTAATTTCAGTTCACAATTCTTCGTATATGGTTCATAATCTGAATATCCATATAGATACTTTTGAGTGGTGTTCTTTACTGTCAATCACAGTAAGTGAAACCCTCTATCTCAGAACCATCACTTTGTAATCTTTTAAACCCAATTCTTGGATTTACTGAATAATCCATTTTGAGTACGTCCATATTCCATAAAGTAGAAGATATAGTGAGCCAAGTTCTCAAATTTTCCTTTTAAATCCTTCCATACAAACGAAATAGTTTATTTCAAGGGCACATCTTGCCTTTATTTTGGAAATACCCAAATATGTTTGGGGGTTTTGGAATTGGAAGAAATTTAGTTAAAATTTTGAACTAATTTTTCTCCAATCCTAAATCCAAAGTACTTATTTGGTGCTCCCAAACGCAACAAAAGTGTACAGGAGTAATCGAGGAAAAAAAAATAGGGGATCTGAAAAATACATTGGTTTGGTTCTACATTGATGACAAATTTGAAGTTATTAGTTACATGTGGATTCATTGCACCTACTTGTGGAAGTAATGGAGATTTATGAACTTAATCATTGTGGTTCAATTGTTATTGCTTAACATTTTTACTATTTAGGGTGACTGACAATCAATTGAGTACCTGGTTTATAGTTTAGCATGAGATTGATAAGAGAGATGTAAGAAGAAGCTAACTGACCAATTGAGTAAAAAAATTCTTAATTTATCAATTAACATTTTAAGGATTTGGAAGGAAATATTGATTTGGTTAGTAATCAATTTTCTTGTTCCTGACATCTTCTTTTCCTTTATTTTCTAGCTAATATGGTTTATTCAAGGGATAATCTTTCCGTGGGTTGGTTTCAGGTTAACAATGGGCAGAAATCTCAGTCCAATTTTACGGCGAGAGTTAGAAAATCTAGACAAGGATGCTGATAGCAGAAAATCAGCAATGAAAGCACTGAAATCATATGTAAAAGAGTTGGATTCAAAGGCAATCCCACTCTTTCTTGCTCAGGTTTCTGAAACCAAAGAAACGGGGTCATCATCTGGGGAATACACAATCTCACTCTATGAAGTTCTTGCTCGTGTTCATGGCCCAAAAATTGTCCCTCAGATTGACAACATTATGACCACCATTACAAAGACCTTAGCTTCCAGTGCAGGGTCTTTCGCTCTTCAGCAGGCTTGTGCTAAGGTAGTTCCAGCAATAGCTAGGTATGGGATTGACCCGACCACCCCAGAAGACAAGAAGAGGCATACGATTCATTCACTTTGTAAGCCTCTCTCAGATTCTCTTTTGAGTACCCAAGAGAGCCTATCCACTGGTTCTGCCCTTTGCTTAAAGGCTCTGGTGGACTCTGATAATTGGAGGTTTGCTTCTGCTGATATGGTGAATGAGGTTTGTCAGAGAGTTGCAGTGGCTTTAGATAGGCCTTTGCAGACCAATCCACACATGGGCTTAGTCATGTCCTTGGCTAAGCATAATAGTCTAGTTGTTGAAGCATATGCAAGATTGTTGATACAATCCGGTTTGAGGATTTTGAATGCCGGGGTTGTGGAGGGAGAATCTCAGAAACGGTTGTCATCCATTCATATGGTGAATTTTCTTATGAAGTGTTTGGATCCGAAGAGCATATTCTCCGAGCTTGGTTTGATAATCGAGGAAATGGAGAAGTGTCAGTCCAATCAAATGGCTTATGTCAGAGGGGCTGCTTTTGAAGCTTTACAAACAGCAAAGAGAATAATAGCAGAGCAAGGCCCAAAGTTGGAGAGGGAGTTGGGTTCAATTACTGGGTCAAATTGTTCAAGTGAGAACAACTGTAGAAGGAATTTATGGGGTGCAGGAGATTTATCTCCTGGAATGGCATCACCTGAATCACAAACTGTTAATTCATTTGTTGGATATGACTCTTTCATTGAATCACCAATTTCAACCAGTGAGGTCTCCAGGAACTTGTATTATGATCGAAGGAGTGTCAACCGTAAACTTTGGAGATATCAGAACGGTGGGGTGGATGTATCTCTCAAGGATGGCTTTTACTCAGAAATGGCTAATGGCAGTGCCATTGAGAACTCTGTGCATGAAGAGTTTTCTGACAATAAAGGTGATTATGTGGATGGATTTGCAGGGTTCTTGCAGAGAAGCCCCAGAAATGGATCACCGAGAAGCACTACCCCCAGTCCTCAGGTAAAATGTCCAAGCATTTCTTTTCTCATTTGAATACACTTCTCTCGATCAGAAATTAATTTATTTGATTTACTATTTTTCATTCTCTCTTTCTTCAATATAAGAGTTAACTTATCACACTATTGATTTGATATCTAAATGCTGATCTTTTTTATTTTACTTTTATTTGTTTGGGTTGTTCAGAGATCACGCTCTCAGATAAACATTGATAATGTTAAGATCTTCACAACTCCAAGGAAGCTCATTCACTCTCTTCAGGAAGCAAGTGATTCTGGTTCAAACTTTTCTGTGAAACAAACTAGAAGATGTAGAAGTCCCTACTCGAGTGATTTTGAGTGGAGTCCTATGTCAAAATATAATCAGAATGCTTCGTCTCATGATATGAACCATGAGATCAAAAAGGATGTAAACTTATCTGGAGGGGGTACACAGTTGCATGGTGGCTCAGAATCGGTGTCATCAACAGAAGATCTTCCTTCTGATGCTGATTTGCAAGTGTCTCGGGATGAGATTCCTGAAATTAAAAGTGAAGCTAGTTTTGATGTTCAAAGAAAGCATCGGAAGTCTACTCTCAGTGTGCTTTCTGGCTTTCTTCTGGTACTTTTTGCAGTTTTCATTTGTTTGTTGCGGATTGATGATCATGGCGAAGGTTACCTTGTTCCCACTTAAGGATTATGGTTTATGGTAGTACCTTCGATAATATTGTAGTTGTCATATTAAAACTGTTTCTTTTACTAAATCTTCCAAACTAAGAGTTGATGCTCAATGTGCTCAATAGAAGCAGCTACTGCATTTTTCAGAAATGTTATCTTTTTCATTGATGTGCTTTCGTTTTCATGTACAGGAATTCTTCTTGTTCAGGATGTCATTTTTTTTTTAACTGTTGCTTGGTTGATGTCGTTTTAAAACTTTTAATATGCCTTGCTAGTAGCCACATTGCAGTCTATTTAACACTATTCTTTGTCTCATGTTCTTCTATTGACATACATGATACATATAGTTATGATTTTTGATCCTGCCTTGTGATACAAGCATTTAGTTGTGATTTGTAGAAAAAGAACTCCAAATATATTCTTTGCACTTGAGGTGATGGAAGAAACATGTGCTTCTTCATTAACCCCAATAGATACACACACATATATGAGCTTCTTTGCCTTGATTATGACAACTTGCAAATCATGCTCGACTTTAATTTATTCTTTTTTAAGTTGAACCATGAACCAAATGATAAAACATTATATATCAGCAGAACTAAGAAGAGTAAATTTTTTCACAGGTATGAAAAGGGTTTTAATTATTTTTCAAATAGAAAGATAGAGCATAACAATGCTTCTACAAGATTTAGAGATTTGGGTTGTGTATATGCTGCCAACCTCTCCATACACCTTCAGGATCTATGTTTATTGGTTCAAGCAGGGCCGCCTGTCCAACGCATATGTAAGCATACTTGCCATACCATTCGTGACTTGAGCCAGGACTGAACATGTAAAGTTCGTTGAAGCCATCTCTTCCAAGTATAACTGAGTTTCTTCTACCCTGTTTTATAGTAACAAGAAAATTAATGAAATAAAATTGTCAGTTCATACAAGTTGGAGGGGTCAAAATGGAATGACAAGAACAAAAATAGTCAAGTAAAGTTGTCCGTTCACTGAAGTTTGAGGTGTCTAAATCGAATGACAAGAACCTTAACAGTTACAGTTTGCTAAATTTTTAAGTCCATGAAAATTGAATCATCAAATGTGTTCTCCAGAGCATTTGAATAAATGCTACCAAAATATTACTATGAAATCCAAATGCTCTCTAGAACATGACTAAATATTAAACTTCATGGAAGTGTTCTTTTGATTTTCTTCCAGTGAAAGTATAGAAATGCAGCTACTTAAAAGCAATATATAACAATACTCGGTATTCATAGATTACATACCCTGTCAATTACTGTCATGTATCGAGGTGCATCAGTGTAAATCATGCTCATTTTCTCAGTTAAATGCTTATAGTTATCAGTTTCTTCACCCTCCATCTCTTCTTCTACTTTTCCCTCCCTGCTTTCTGCATCATCAGCAGTGTTCTGATTTCTTACTCCCCAGCTGGACAAATATTCAACGAGTGCCGTAGGACTCCACAACTTTCTAAAACCTAAATCTTTTCCCTGGACGAAATCCGGAGGTATTATACTAAAATTTGATAAAAATGGTGGCCTGCTAAAGAAATTTGATCCTTCCAATCCCACTGCATAAGTTGCTTCTGGTGTGCTTACGGTCAGATGGCTCACCATAGAGCCCATCAGACCGAGGGATGAAGATTTTGTGTTAGAGACTACAATCTCTGAGCTTAAGAGATCTTTTCGGAGAGTCAGAATATGTTTAACTTCAACCATATCCTTTGAATTCCTGCTTATCAGTTCTACCTGCATTTTCAATTTCATGAGTTGCTCTCCGGAACAGATTGTGGCAGAAGTATTGGCTAGTAAAAAAAAAAAAAACATTATAAAAAAAGTGTTACTCCATCAAACATAGATATTGTTATGTTTGCACACTCTCCATGTTCACGGTTTTCAAAACACGTCTATGAGGCGTTCACACATATAAGTGACAACAACTCTCTCCCTAGGCCATGTGGGACGTCACAGTACATATCTTTTCTATCTAGGCCGTATTTTGATTATTACTACAACTAAAACTTACAAAAATGACCATGATGAATTCTTGAGGAATGATAGCTATAAATTAGAACAGACCTGAATGGAACCTTGAGGAGTTCCTTTGACATCATGAAGAGCCCAAGTACTTGGAGACCATGGAACTCCACCATCACTTTCACATTTGAAGGCTAAAGACACACCACCTTGAATGACAGCAGCAGCACCACTCTCCCCCTCCGAGACCGATGTGTGCAGCAGCTCAAGCGTGCCCCCGTGCCACATGGGAGCCTTGTAGGACGTGATTAGTCCGCTTGGTAGCATCAGGCTGACCAAGCTTCCGTTGTCCAATCCCATCTTGACCACGCAGCTGTCGCTGATGGTTGTAAATGTAACTCCATGGCCACTGAATTCATTCTCCAAGTAGTCCACATTGATGGGTGGGTACGGAATTGAACTGACTGCTGGCAATGGGAAATCTCTCTTGTTGATACTGTATTGAATTGGAATATAGGGAAGATAAGGGTGTAAAGAGAAGAGATTTGTTGCTGGTTTTGGTGGGGAAAGAGGAATGAATTTGGGGGAGATTAGAGAGTTGTAAACCATGAGTATGCTTGGGAGAGAGAGAGAGAGAGGCTCTTATCCTTGTAGACTTGACTTAACAATTCTATGCACATGACAGGATAATATGATATTTTTTGGTGGGTTATGATGGAAGGCCTCACAGATATTTGGATTCTTTATATTTTCTCCTTTTTTTTTTCTTTTTTTTTTTTTCTCTTGTCTTTTAACATAAATGAAAAGTTTAGTTTACTCTTTCCACTGAACAAATTATATTGGGATAATCACACATAATTAATATGGGTCTTCACTGTAATGTTAAAAATAATATTCAATTAGTGTAGGCTTTGATCTCAACATGTTAAATGACTATTATACTCAAAATACTTTTATTGATTAAACATATAGGTAAAATAGTATTTTCAAACTTTTTAAGGGTATTCTCAGAGTGCCCCTTTTATTTAGGCAATCTATATGGTCTACAAAATTTAATCAAAAGCTGGAATGAATGAGAGGAGCAGAGTTTGTTAATATTGAAGGAGACACCCACGCAGTAATCCTCTAGGAGCATTTCAGATCACTAATCAAAAGAAAGAGAAATATTTTTACCTCAAGATTTGTCAAAGTTCCTTAGTCTGCTGCCAATTTCTCACCATATTTATCAAGTGGGCCCATAGTTCATAGTCGCGGTATCAATCGTAGTATAACGAATTCGAACGAATATAGTATAAACCAATTGGTTTACAAAAGTGCGTAACGATATCGAACGAATTGACTCATACGTCGCAACATATCGGCCGAAACGACAAATCACGAGTGAACCTTAAACCAGGGTGAATATGAGTGCACTGCAAAATGTACGAATGCTAAGGTTGCTCATGTCAGTTCCTCCACAACTGCTCGACTTTATTGTCCGAATAGATTGTCAATTGTCGAAGGTCCCTTTACGCACCAATGAGTTGTAACAAACATATGCCATATGGTGAAAAATTCGCAACTCACCGTGGTCTAGTAATATTTCAAGGAATTCCAAGTTGCCCGTCTTTAGAAACGGTGTGGAGTTCTTAAATGTGACACGGAAATATTAATCTCTCGGGTAGCCGTCCATCATCGCGTGTGCGGAAGGGGTAGGGAAGGTTGTCGCAGTTTCCATGGCAATCCTTAGGTGCGGCTGCAACTGCAAGCGCTGCTAACATCATCACCACCCAGCAACACTACCAAAAGATCATGAACATTATATAGACATAAATATATTTATTTACCGTTAGATGTCGTTAAATTATTTCGAAACAAATTGATGGCGAGACTACAACTGTTATTCAACTTGGCATCCAAAAAAAGCTCTAGCTCCTTCTCCTTAAACATCTTACCCATTACACCTTTTCATATAAAAAAGTGCAGTCAGACATATCACAGTTCCAAATATTGAATAAAAAAACCTTCTCAAGTAGGGAATAAATTCATTTCAGGCACAGGTACAGCCAACGGACTCCATGATCATGTTTTAAGTTGGGCGTCAAATCTCCAAATACAAAAAGAAATTGAATATCACCCACTACAAACTCAAAGAGTTGGTTAATGAGTAGCATATACACCAACATCACTGTCCATTTCATGATGAACCAAAATTTCTTTAGCCGAGGCCGGCATTCAAAAGAAAACAAGACGTGCATAACCAGTTACAAGAAAAGCCCATGAAGTTAAAAGCAAAGTCATGACAATTAACTGAAGACACGCATAACCAGTTACAAGAATTGCCGATCAAGTTACAAGCACACTCATGACAATCAATTGCATCATCCGCTCAGAAAGTTTAGTCCTCATCCATTCCTGCGGGCTGCTGATCCCTTTTTGGGCCACCTGCTGGTTTTGCCATAATAATCTGCAATACAAAAACCAGACATGGCAATTAAAATTATAATCAGAAAGAATGACACTAGTTTGATTGCAAATTGCAAGTATACTTTACTATTAGTCTATTTCTATCATTTACTAGTTTGGAGGTTCTTTCACTACTTCCTTGACAAGTATCCCTTGGATTTCCATTCTCTTTACAAAATTTATTTTTCTTGGTAAACAAAATAATTGTAACGGGTGGGCGCTTGCCCATTTACCCAAAAACTCGAACTATTGGATAGTGCTGCATACCCCACCCATTTATACTCATTCACTTTTCCATTCGGATCCGATATGGAACAAATGACCCTTGTTACATTCTCCCCCAACCAAACTCGCAACGCCCTCGTTGCGGCTCGAGCCACCCTGCGTACCCGGGCTAGCTCGCCAAGACGCCTTCCGGGTCGGGCGCTTGGCGTAACACCAGATCAAGGACTGGGTCTGGCTCTAATACCAACTGTAACGGGAGGGCGCTTGCCCATTTACCCAAAAGCTAACAAAATTCTGACTCTTCCTCTATTATCTTTACCAGTACTTCGATTTTCTTCTTTTACTCTATTCATGTTTTAGTATCATGTGTTCATGGACTTATGGCACACCACAAAACATGTCAGTAGTCTATACACTACTTATCTACCTCGAATAAGCTGCTTGGCTCAACCACTTCCAATTCATTTGAGTATGCTAGAATTTCTTCTCTTCATTAATTATCATATGATAACAGACAAATGCTCCACCAATCTATATATACTATTATTCTACTACTACTACAAACTATTATACTGTTCAAGGATCCTTTGATATTTCGCTCTCTGATCAGATGGCATTTTCAAATTTTGAAACATGAGGGTCACAATTCATGCATTTTAAGGCTAATAACATTGCAGCTCAAGCTTAATCTGACATAATTCAATATCAGCAGCAAGAGAACCTCCCTATTAATCAAATGCACTCTAACAGCTGAAATAAGTCAATTGTCAAAGAACAGGTAAATAAACAAAGGGTTAAGAAGATGGGACCAAGTGCTGCCAGATGAGAGGCTCAACAGCCCATTTATAATGTGCTATTTGAGAAAAGAAGAAACCATAAAACCTAACAATTAATAGTTTATTACCTGGTCTACCCGTAGCACAGTGCAAGCAGCATCTGCAGCATATTTAAGAGCAAAGAATCTGCAAAAGAATACAACAAATTGGTTTAAATCATACATAGTACATGAAAATTATCAACTTAATATACAACCAGCCGTTAGTTTGAGTGGTAACTCCTGCCCCTACCAATGCCAATAACCAATGTACCATACACACATTATCATGAAAATCAAATTGGGCAGTGATGCACAAATTCTGAACCCGACCCAAAGTAGCATTGGGCCGTGTTAGGATTATCCAACCAAGTCATTGTACCTGACACTAAGTTTTGTCAGGATTGCCCATTAATCGCGTACAGGTCACACATCAGAATCAACCTGTCCAGTGCTTACTCACTGCATTGAACATTTAAAATGTGGAGTATAGATTTTACACTACCAGAGAAACTGCACTGATTTTAATACTAAAAATAGTAGTAGCCTATAACCTAACATTTTCTATGGTACAAAGTATAACAACAGAAGGATTCGAGTCCAACCATTAATCATGGTTAAAAATCAACAGAGGTTCTCCCAACTCCCTAGACCCTCATCGCTTTGGGGACTTCAACATCTACTCGTGACAGGTAATAATTTAAGATATAATCCTCAATATTTTGATTCCAAAAGATTTCTATAAAGCGAAAAGTCCTTCATGAAATCCAACCTAATGCAAGATCATTGGAGGTGAGTATCCTTTTACATGCATTAAAACCCTAATAAAAAAGTCAAACTTATGGGTTGCAAGAAACAATAATAACCGCGAAAAACAGATGAAAATTTCAATGAAATAAGTGAATGACTTCAAGACAGCACAAAGCTGCTTACTTGGTAACATGAAGGTCCCAGATGTTCATGTTAGAGACATCTTTGCAAACACCTTGTTCCAAGTCAATGCCCACTTTGGTGTTTCCAGATGCATGCTCAGCATACAGAGAAGATATTATCTCCATTGCATTGAGACCAGCATTCTCAGCCAGGGTTTTAGGTACCATCTCAAAGCTCTCAGCAAATTTTCCGATAGCATATTGATCCATTCTGCAAAGAGATAGTCAAATCCTAATCATTTTGTATTTGTTTATGCAAGTGAAGAGAAAATTTTATATTTAGCATATTAAAAGTGCAGAGCTTCCAGCCTGATGTGGACAAATACCCAATGCCGCAAAAAATTTTGAATTTATAATATGGTATATATAGACATGAAATGAGATAACCACTCAACTTGACAAATCATATAACAAAATCTTTGGTGGACATACGCCTTATAATTTCTAAATAACCATCTCACTAAATACATGAGTATGAGAATAGGTATGCCTGTTTTAGACAAGTAACAACTAACAGAAACCACATTCACCAAAAAATGAGTCCCTAATATGCTGAAAGTTCTAAATGATGCTGTCGTTATCTCTGTTGTAATAATACAAAATCCTTCAAAGAGTACAAGTACCATGCTGGGCATAACAAGCAATATAAACAATTCATTTGATCCTTGAACAGAAAGAAAATTACCCCGTTTCTGTCAAAGACAATTCTTTCAATCTTCTAGCTAACTCAATTTCAGTAGCTGCAGCTCCGGGTACTATACGACTGTCCCTGCACATTGCCTTATATATATATATACATATGCATGAAGCAGCTCTAAGATTAGCTCTTAATGATCGACAAGAACTGAAGCAAAACTTACTTGAAAGCGGCCAGATAAATTACTATAATACTAAACTTACTAAATATGAAAGATGGTGAATCTGTAAGAATGTACAAGTTATTCTTATCTATTATAGAATTACCTTGTACGTATTCACACCATCATCAACTGCTCTCTCAAGGTCATCCAGTATGCTATCAGTACTTCCTCGTAAAACTACAGTGGCTACAGAGTTCCCACCTTCTTCATTTCTCACAATAGTGACCTAAAAATATTAGAAAAGGAGTAAGAATGGTAGTGTAAGAGAAGAGGGAAAAAAAATCAACAAATTTGAACAACGCTATGATAGAGCAAATTGCAAGATTATACCCTAACACCACCGACTTCCTCCACCGAAATGGAATCAACATATCCCAAATCGTCTGGATTTGGAGGGCCAAGCTTCAACTGTAGCCAAGATTAATTGAAAATATTAGAAAGAGGTTAAAGAAATTTTTATACACTAAACCAATTGCTAGTGTGCTTACAATAGCAACAGCACCAGTTGTACGGCAAAATCGTCGTAGTTCAAATTTGGAGCTGATTTTCAAGACCATGAGCCTGTAATAAAATTTATTTAGGAAATAGCATTATTAAAGCAGTTTAAAAGAGCCACATGAAGAAGATAGGTAAAGAACTAGATATTAGCATTATATAGTTTTTTTAAAAAAAAAAAGAGCCACATGAAGAAGATAGGTAAAAAATTAGATATCAGCATTATATAGTTTTTTTTTTTACACAAAAAAAAAAAAAAAAAAAAAAAAAAAAAAAAAAAAAAAGACTTTGGATTGGTGACTTAGCAGCAAATCCAGAAGGCAGCGACCATGTTGCAAGCATACATGTTAATCTGAATGAAATTAACATTAGAGAAAAGGAGGGTAGATGTTCCGATTGCATATATACAAATCATGCACAGCAATTAACGTTTTTACAGAGAGACAAACAGAAGGGAGGGAAGTTAATAGCAAAATCACTGGGGGTGGTCTCCTTTTTTTGGATAAACAGATCACCACAGGTCTCGTAATCAACATTATTGCTATAAAATCACTAATTTAGAGGACATTTTTTCTGATTCACCACAAGCACATAAGTAGCTATTCAACATAGCAGACAGTGCGTCTCTCTTTTTCTTCTCAGCTGATCCTTCAGAAGGGGAAAAAGTCTCTTACACGTCCCAATTTATACTAACACTGCCACAAAATGCTACCAACTCATGCATGGGAAGTGTAATACCGCTACACTATACTAAGCTATGTTCTCATCCGCAACCTGAACAAAGTAGAATGGAAATTTTGACTATCTTGTCAGCTGTTAAACCCACATTCACAGTCACATTTTCTTAGCCATGTGTCTGATTCCCACTACAAATGTAAACAGCACATATATCAGAAAGACAAAGGAGATTTCATGTACTTGTAACGTTCACAGAAATGTAGAGCCATCTCCCCAACTGCCGCTCCACTAACAATAACCTTAGCACCGGAGTCTGCAACTGCTTTGATTAGCTCCTCAACTTTGCCTTCTTCAGTTTTTGCATAGTTCTCTAGCTGGAGTATGCCAAAAAAGGGTTTCCAGAAAAATTTAGCATCAATAGCAAAACAAGTTCTACAAAGAATTTCAAAACCCAACCACACATTGGCAATTTTGATGAAAGCGAACCAAGTAATTTATTAAAGTAAAAGGTGTTGTTTCCAATATCAGAGCACAAAACATCATGCAGACTAAAAGAAGTCATCTCCCAAAAAAAAAAGGAGAAACATGAAAACTAATTGAAACGTGCATATTCACTGAATCATATTATCTAAAACAACAGAGCAACTAGCAACCACCAATAATTAGATGGAATGCCAAGTTTACATAAATGAAGCTGCAATAGTTGCATTCATCCATCACTGACCAAAAAGTCTACATGGATTTTTTTCATATATAATAGACAACTATACTCATCCAGGCCAAGAACAGAATGAGAATTAACAAATCAGACATGCTTAGACAGGCCGATTCTGAATAAATCTTCTCCCCAAACTCCAAACAGAGATGTTCACACTGACACCACAAAATACCAACCAGAAAAGTGACTCGGATAACCAGGCAAGCACATCCTGGTTTCCAACTGAACTTCAATCTCCTATTCAAGTTAAGAATGAAGTGCAGGAGGTTATAACCTTTAAAATCCTATACTAGTTCAAAGCAAATTTGTCTGATTCTAACAACTAGTTTGGCTCCCAATTTATCCTAGTAGGGGTACTAATATGTCAGCATGACCAAAAAGTACTCACCTTTCTCTTCAAAAAGCATATTCATCTTGATGGTGCCGAAGACTTAAATAGAAAGGAAAAAATTCCAAAGCCAACACATACATTTTTTGAACTTCACAAACAAGGGTAAAAAATTTTTTTGAACTTTCACAAACAAAAAGGATAAACTTTTTACTGCCCTGATTAACTAGAAAGAGAGAAGTTTGCAGTCGATTGACAGCAACGATGATGATGACGGTGTGTCTTTGTGTAAATATGAGAGAGAGAGAGAGGGGTTGGATTGGGAAAAACAAGGGCAATATTTCTTCTTCTCAGGAGCAGGATATTTTCTCAGGCATCATGTAATAAGGTAGGGTTTGTAAATAGTATATGGAATGGGGGAACAATAGCATATATGTATCAGACTAAAAAGATTAATAATGAGAATTTCACTCAAGTCTTTATCCAGCTTCACGAGAATTCATCCAGAAAGCACCTAATGGTTGATCCTTCAGAATGGGCTTTAAGGAGGGGAGTCGCGTACCTCTTGAAGCCTGACTGTAAATATAATCAAACATCTTTTACTTTCCTAAAAACGACCCCTGGAGCCTCCCAAAAGCTGTGGCAAATGTTATCCAAACATTTTTCCCCTTTTCTAGAATAGATATAAATTGAAACAAAAATATTAACAGGTGTCACAGCGTGTGCAACCTATGTACACACCCCTGTACAAAAATCAAGCTATACAAAACTACCCCCTAGCCAGCTAGAGAAAACATAATAACCAAGTCCAGCATAGGCCAGACGGTTTACAAGGTTTAATAATATTTTCTTATAGTTACTGCAAAATTAACAGAATAGCATATTATTAGATGAAACAAAACATTATTGCATGGACACAAACAAGTATATATCAGGTATAGCAATTCACCAATTTTATTGATTTATAAAATGCCAGCAAAAATCAGAGTATATTTATATGTGGAATGTTGAATATAAATTGCTAGTCTGTTCGATTTTCTTAGGACAGCAACCTATACAAGTGGGGTGTTTTAGGACTCAAAATAGTTTTTGGGGGAGCATACATATATTGAATAATACAAGAGAGAAAGAACACACAATTATGCAAAGGCTATGAAAAAACAATACCATAATTATTAATAATTTTTTTTAATATAATGTGTCTCAATCATAATCATTAACATTTGAAGGCCAACTGTACTTTACAACCCCAAAAATATCTTCAGGTTCGAAATTGTTCTGTGAATCTGTGTGCAGCAAAGATAGCAAAATACCCAGATAAATTATCAGGAAGGCATGAAAACAAGTCATGTCCCACAAAAAGGCATGTAAACAAGCCACGACTCGGGACATTTCAGGTCAGTTTTGTGCATTAAGAATGAGATAATTCGAAGTTCAGATCACCCCCCGCAATGCAAGGGGAAAAAAAACAAACAATTAAGAACAAAAAACAAGTATGGTAAATGCAAGAAACACATGCTAAAAAATAGGGGGACAAATATCACAATGTTAGAGAAGCAAACCCAAAAATAATTTCCTTAACAGTATACCTGCTCAGCGCTATGAATAAGGACTGTTCCTTTTGTTTCAGTTGCAGATGTATCAACGCCACCAGCAAACACAGCAACCTAAAAAAACATGGATAGAGTGTAAAAATTATCCAACCAGATGGAAAATGAATTGCCACCTTAGAGTTGAACCATTCTGAAATTAAAATCAAAATTTAACAAATTCATAAAAACAAAAAATATATATTTGGAAATAACAGTATATATAACCTAATTCACCTATTCAGACACGACCAGATATTAGTGAAAGGCCTTATTTCAAGGGCAAAAAACTTCCCTTCCAAATTCTAATCAGAGCCCCGCAAAATTCATGAACTATATAAACAGTGAATCTAAATAATTATGCATACAATCATAGTGTTAACCAGAGGCCTACAAAACTCATTGTATAACATGACTTCCTAAAGGTTATTTATAGGCTACAAGTAGAACCTTTACTGCGGTTATAAGATCAAAGAACTCAATGAATATAATTGATATCATTAAATTTACGCTGCATATTGCCATAGGTAAAAGAATTGTTTGGTTCTAGTTTCAAATACAGCGTGAATGGTCAAATTAATATTTTACTGTAATCAAGAAAAAAAAGGAGGTGATTAATGTTATCATAAAAGGCAACCAATATTATTTAGTGCTTTACATAACAAATGGCTAGATCTAGCCCATTCTTTCATATGAATCATTTAAGTTTGATATTTAAAATCAAAAATGGAGAGAGAGAGAGAGAGAGAGAGAGAGAGAGAGAGAGAGAGAGCAATGAATCAGAGATAGGGGAAAAAGCATTATGCGCAGATGTTTTACAAATTGAACCTTTTGAATAAATTCTAAAGACAAGGAATGAACTGTCCTATTCCTCGCATCGAACAGGAAAAATTAAAATTACTGTGCAAAAATAAATAATCAAGACACGACCAAGGGCATCAGAAGAAATTCAAGATATAAAAGTCTTTGGCTTGACATCCTCTATACCTAATTCAGAATACATATACTATCTTCGCATACGTGTAATCAAAACCTACTTCATTTCTAATTTTTGCCAAATTTTACAGCATTTCTTTTTTGTTTCTAACATAGATATAACATCCTCAACCATGACCAAATTTCCATAGACAATGACCATTTTTATTTTGATTCTTCAAGAATATATTTTAATGTTCTTTTAATACATCCAATCATCCTATTCCGCACTGTATGAGTTTCATCTACTAATTTCTATCCTTTTTTTCCTTTTTTTTTTTTTTTCTGATAAGTATCTTCTAATTTCTATATTATTTCTTTTCACGTCATATTCCGTCGGTGTACTCCTCAATGTTTATTAATTCCTTGTATCTCATCTAACCTAACCATTTGGGACCAGCCTCTCTACACGCCCTCATCCAAAATAGCATGGAAATCCTTTGCCACTTTCCACTACATTCAAATGACACTGCATCACCCCTTCTTCATTTCTCGAAGCACCCATGAGTTGATGCAAAAGATGGCCTGAAGGGTACGCCCTAATATTCACTCGAATATTTCAAGATTCACATTCATAAGGGTCGAGCAATGGGTTTATGATGATGGTCAAGTGCCCAAGTCAAACCATACTTTTCAGGTTCTGGGATCAGTTATGTAAGAATAATACACCAGAAACAACACGGGAGGAGTTGTAAATATTAATATATATATATATATATATATACATGTGTGTGTGTGTGTGTATTCACGGATAGTTACTTTTAGTTATAAGATAGTGTAGTATGCGGAAAGAGAATTTTAAAGAGTAGTGGAAGAAGTTTGAGTTGAAATAAACTTGTTAAAAATAAAGTGTTTTACTATTTTAGCCCAGTTTCAACTTATTTCTTCAGTTGTAAACTATGATATGACCTGGTCCTACCTAAGAATATGCTAAAAGATAGTGAAATAGTAAGGAAAAAATAAATAAATAAAAACTACATCGTGTACTGTGTTTTGCACAAGTGAGAGGAGAGAAAAAGGACTGCAGAAAGAACGTAAAAACCAACTAATGGATGCTTACCTTTGCCTTCTCCACTCGTTTTATACTCCCAACAGCGTCAGTTCTCAAAACCATACCTCTAACAATTGTACAGTTATGCAAACCCCCACCCAAAAGCTTTGCAACCCGAACATTATCCACATTAAAGTTTGCAGGATTTTTGGGACAGACTTGTATGCATGCCTGCAGCTCAAAAATATCTCAATATTCAGAAACTACAAAGGACTGATGGTATTGCTAGTAAACAATAAGAATAGCCAGCCAATAATTACATCAGCAATTAGAGAACATAAAATATCTTCCTGCCCAAATTGCTTGCTAGCAACAGCAGCTTTCATCCGTAAAACAACTTCATCCTTGTTCCTCACATCCATCTTTTCAGAACCATTCTCAACCAATTCATCTAATATTTCAACTGCCTGAAACCACGGTAAAATAAAAAATAAAAATGAAATGGAGATCTAATTTGTAATTAGTAAACATACAATTAATAGACATACTAGCCACTCAGTATAACATATCATACCCTGTTAATTGATTTTGTGTACCCTATTATGATATCACTTGGGTGAAGTCCCATCCTGATAAGCTCCTCCGCATTTTGTAGGAGCTCCCCGGCAAAAGAAATTGTCAAATTAGCCCCATCTCCGATTTCCTCCTGTTGTGCCTTCCCTGCCAAAACAAGAATCTTGGCAGCAGGATGTTGAACTTCAAGTTCATTCACTATAGTGGCAGCATCATTTGTGACAAAAAGCTTGTCCAGATGATTGATAACCATTTTATTCAAACCTGAATACAAAAATATATTTAAAATCGTAAAACAAATAGTGGAATATTCCAAATCTCTGCAAACAAAAAGAAAATGGCCTGTGACTGCTTTTTTTTTCCCTGGGTTTAGATAGTAATTTTTCCTGGCCTCAAGACTGCCTTTAGATGAGCAAAATAAGGAGAAGTCCAATTACCCATGTAAAATTACTATCTAATTTGAAGAAAATAGAAGAAGTCTGATTATTTATTCATCCAGAATATTCAAGTTTTGTCCACAAAACATAGGGAATTGATAGAATACCAAAAATAAATAAAAAATGAGCCCACGTATTCTGAGCTTCTTTCATAATTTACAGGTAAAAATAAGAAGGATTGAATCTTTAAAGTGGTCATGTTCATATTATTTCCACCAAGCTTTGAACAAACACGGTTCAGTATGAAATGCAGGAAATACAACGTTAGGTCACGAGAAGCCATACAACAAAAAGGATGGAATATTTATGCCGTATTCATAATACTTCTAATAAATCATATGAGAATACTCTAAACCCTAAACCCTAAATACCATAAATCTCAAAATAAAATATTCAGCACCCACAAATGACAAAAAAAAAAAAAAAAAAAAAAACAACATAGCAAGTGACTGTACCAATGTTTTACAGTCAAACTTGAAATTGAACCCCAAATATAAACATAGCAGGTGACTGTACCAATGTTTTCATATGATGGCGTGAATAAACTTGGAATATCAGTGGATCTTTGGAAAATAAATGGAAAAAAAATAGCAAAAAATACCATTGGGACCGAGAGAGGTTCGAGTAATGGTTGAGAGTTGCTTGCAGGCTTCAATGTTCTTGAGCACCGCTTCCTCGAGTCCTGATAGGTGCTTGTGCCCCTCTTTCAGCATTGATTGCATACCGTAGGGCATCTGATAACCCATTTCTGATCAAATCTCTTCTTCTTCTACTTTTCTTCAACTTCTCTCGCACGATGAGTATAAGAAGAGAGAGAAAGTGACAGACAGAGAGAGAGAGAGAGTGACTGAGAGGGAGAAAAGGAGGCACACAAAGAAAGCCCTAGAACTTCACCTTTCTTTCTAAACCGGTTTACACTGCATAAGCCCAATTCAGGTAGACTGTTGACAGTCAAAAATTACGGTGCAAGTAACTCACTTCAAAATTAAAAACTTGAAATAAGAAAAAAATATATATGTAGAGGGTTAAAATGTAGCCGGCAACAAAAACAGAAAAATTATATGTATAATTATATGTATATATATAAATAATAATAATAATCTCAAGATGCTTTTGTTACGCAAAAAAAAAAATTATATAACATTTTACTTGCAACAAATTTTACTTTACTTTGACAAACAAAACTTTGCGTTAAAAAATTAAAATAAACAAAAACACAAGAAACAACTTATGCTTTTTAAATATCTCATCATATACATAATTAATTAATTAATTAATTAATTATACATTATGTATATATAATAATGGAACAAGGATTTAATTACCGAAAAAAATAATGGAACAAGGAGTCCCTCGATGATTTTGTTTCAAATTTAAGAAGTAATCTAAAAGATTTCTCAAAAATAACAATTTTACTATTTAAAATATATATATGAATCAAGGTCTTCTCAAATGATGTCTTAGAAGTTCAAATAATTACTAATAAATTAAGCAATCACATTCATATATATTGTTACAACAATTTCAAAAAACTACGCCAGAATGATTTCTTTGGTAGGATTCATATTGTTTTAGGTTCAAGCCAGAAAAAGGAAACACAAAAAATAAATAAATGAAGGCGGATTTAATTTAGGCTGCCCAAACTGCAATCCAAATGGATCAAAACTATTATTTTCCTTGACTACACATTTCATGGTACGTAAACATACAAAGTTACTGCATTGAATGTTGTCGTTCTTAGCATTGGGTTTGTTAACTGGGGCTACGCTTTGGGTTTGTTAATGTTAACATGGGCTAAGCATTGGCTTTTCTACTGGACTAAAGCCCCTTTTATATATCCTGGCCCAACAAGGGTGTGCACGTTCATTTCTTTATAATAATTACACTCAGTCTCACAGTTTATTTCGACATAAAATATTATTTTTTAAAAATATTTTTTTTTTTCAAGTAAAAAATGTTTTTCTTTTTTATATTATCGGTATTTGGCAAAGATCTACATCGAGGTTAAAGTCGAGTCCATCAGACGAGGGCCGCGGGGCATGTAAAATAACCGAAAATTGATGAATAAGTTATTTTTATTAAATTTTAATATTTTTTTTCTTCATAAATATTTGAAGACAACCAAATACCAATAAATAAAAAATAATAATAAAAATAATATTCATCCAAACAAAGGGAGCTTGAGGTCACTTGCAGAAAACACTCCTATTTAGCACTTTTATTTCCTATTTGAAAAAGTGTGTAATATCTCTGACCAATACTTCAAATCCTAAATGAGCATGAAAAGAACTCTTTCAAAAGATACTTCAAATGCTTACTTGGCATTTGACATACGAGGCAATATGTCAAATTTGACATATCAAAAAGTTTATACCAAATGAATTTTCTTATTATTTTAATAAATGAGTTCCACAAATAATTCAAAATTAACATATTATTGTCGTTTAATTAAAATATAAAATATTAATAAATTTGTTCTATTGGGTGGAGTATGTACAAATACAGGTACAAATGACACTATTATTCTTTCAACATTATACAATATAAAATAATACTATTTAGGAGTATGTTAGATTTAGTAATACACGTTTACTAAATCTAACATACACCTAAATAGTATTATTTTGTGAATTAATCAATAATAATAAAGAGAAACATAATTATATCATCTTGTTCTACCATACGTGTATTACTAAATCTAACATACTCCTAAATAGTATATATATATATATATATATATATATATATTTGACATGTTCATCTCCATGTCGCTTGTCTTTTATGAGATAAACTTGTTACTAAAATAAATAAATAGAAGTATAATTGAGGTGGATTTGTATAAACTATTCAAATTTATGTTGCATCAGAGCGAGCGTCACTGATATATTAATGTGAATTAATCACTAATAATAAAGAGGAACATAATTATATCATCTTGTTCTACCGTACGTGTATTACTAAATCTAACGTACTCCTAAATAGTGTGTGTGTATATATATATATATATATTTGACATTTTCATCTCCTTGCCGCTTGTCTTTTATGAGATAGACTTGTTACTAAGATAAATAAATAAAAATATAATTGAGGTGGATTTGTATAAACTATTCAAATTTATGTTGCATCAGAGCGAGCGTCACTGATATATTAATATATATATATATATATATATATATATATATATATATATATATTTGACATGTTCATCTCCATGCCGCTTGTCTTTTATGAGATAGACTTGTTACTAAAATAAATAAATAAAAGTATAATTGAGGAGGCCAGAAGTGACATGGGCCGGATATGACCCGCGAACATGGCATCCGGTCTGAGCAGCTGGGTCCAGCCCATAGAGAAATACTGCCACATGGGCCGAACGCGAACAGCCCATCAAAGATGACCAAAACCTACAGAGGAACGGGCCCAGATCTAGCAGTCCATTAGTGTTTGTAAGTATCTATAAATATGAGAAGTAATGGATAGAGAAGGGGGATCTTTTCTGTTGAAGTGTAAGAATTCCAGAGAGAGAAAATAGAAATGAATTCCTTGCATCTTCAATTGGCGCCGTCTGTGGTAATCGTTGAAGATTGATTGATCATTGATCAATATCGCGTGGATTCAGACCAATTCATGAAGACGAAACTCGATCTTTGGGAGTTGGATCCAGATCTGAGAGATTGTGACTTATTCTGGAGGAATTTTAGTTCTATTGCTTTGACGGAAGTGGCTTTAGATCTACGCAACAACGAGTTGTTCGATTGCGGCCGGATCTGACGGATTTAGAATTCGGAGAATTCAGATCTCGTCAACCGTAAGCATAACTCGGAGAATTCGAGTCCAGATCTGAAAAATTCGCGCTCACGAAGCTCATATCTACTCAAGAACTTGAGATTAATGCCTTTACTCCGTTCAGGAATAATGATAGGTGAAAGCTCCAATCCGATGGAGGCTGTCCAGCAAACGAAGCTTGAGGAGTTGATGAACTTGATCGAAGCTCTCAAAAGAGAGAATGCAGAATTGAAAGCTGGAATGCAGCATCAGCAAATGCCGGCGGTTCCGAGTCCACTTCCGACCGGTGAAGGAGGTATTCAATCTAATATCGCACATCAAGGCGAGCAGGACGAGAACAATCAGTCAGCTCTCCACCGTGATGAAAGGAGGATGGACGATTTGCCTCCAAATGTTCGTCGAGTTGAGGATCACGAAGGATCGACTCACGTTGATCCGCGACATGAGCAAATCAGACAGAACGAAGCCATGACCTTCGATCCGCATCAGGAAAGGTTCAACCGAGAGGAAGTGATAGAGGTTGATCGCCGCCGAGTTGTATCGCCTTGGCAAAGAGAGCTCATTGAGGAATGGTCATTCGATCCGTCTTACCGGCCCTCCATGGCTACACTCACTCATCGCGGTTCGGAGAGCAGATCTGTAACTCATAGAGCTACCGCTGGGCTCCAGAGAGAGAATGAAGCATTCCGATCCGCGGCTCGGACAGTTGATTCACCATTTACTGATGAGATCCTGAATGCTCCGCATCCAAGGAAGTTTGCCATGCCAGTCTTTATTCTGTTTGACGGAACAACCGATCCGATCGATCATGTGTACCATATCCAGTTGAAGATGGCTCTGAATACGGAGAACGACTCTTTAATGTGCAAATGTTTCCCTACAAGTCTAGCCGGACCGGCGCTTAGCTGGTTCAAGAACTTGCCTAGGGGCTCGATTGATAGCTTCCGGAACCTGTGCGATCGGTTCATAAGCCAGTACTATGGGAACAAGCGTCCGCCGAAGGACATCTCGAGCCTATTCACAATGAAACAGCACAAAGATGAACGTCTCCAGGCTTTTCTCACCAGGTTTAACCTCATTAAGAGTATGGTGATTGAATGCCACCCTTCTACAGCGGTTCAAGCCTTCAAGTTGGCCATGACACGTGGCACTCCGTTCCATACCAGTCTGGTAGTGAACACGCCGACGACTATGGATGAACTCAATGAAAGAGCCGATGGCTTTGTGTGCCTGGAAGAAGAGAAGGCAGCAATGCTCGGACAGTGTCGGTCGTGTCTACCGAGGAAAAGTCCAAGGCAAAGATCAGGCAGAAGCAGGCTCAGCCGCAACGTCAGACCTCCTGGAAGGCAGAAAAGAGGTCCAGGGAGGAAGAGCTAATCACTCCGTTGAAGGTCACTCTTGCGAGGCTATATCAGGAGAACAAAGATAAGTTTCATCCACCACTGCCAATTAGGCAACCCCTCGAACAGAGGGATCAGACTAAACATTGTGCTTTCCATTCCGATTTCGGTCATCAGACTAACGAATGCAGGAATTTGAGAAGGCAAGTGGAGATGTTGATAGCTAGAGGGGAGTTCGCGAGTTATGTTCAAGGCTCGGCGATAGAGCAGAATCGACCGATGGAGCAAATAAAAAAGAGTCAGAAGCAAAGCTCCCACAATTCACAGCCAGTTCGTATAATCAATGCTATTCACGGTCGACCCGAGCCTAGCGAAGACTCAGATGAGCTACTCCGAACGCGCCTACGGCAGGCGCAGATGAAGAAAAGGGTCAGCAGTGTGAATACTCTGCACCAACAGATCACATCGATACAGATAAAGTTCGACAGGACAGACCTGCTGCGTGTTCAAATCCCCCATGAAGATCCGTTGGTGGTCAGCTTGACAATGGCGGACTGCCTGGTGCGCAGAGTTCTGATCGATCCCGGAAGTAGTGCGAATGTCATGCCGGGGGACACATTTGATCAGCTCGAGATTAAGCCAGAAAGGCTCAAACCCACTGGAAATCCCCTGTTAGGATTTGATGGTAAGAGGGTGGAGCCCATCGGTATGGTGGAAGTGGAAGTTCAAGCTGCAGAACGAGCTCTTATGGAAACTTTTATGGTTGT